CAGAGCGGGAAGATAACCTGGGAATTCACCTGCGCTCCAAATCATGAGGCCCTGAATTCCACAAAGTTCCCAAGTCATCAAAACAACCGTGGGCAGCTTCTCAATCCTCCAAACATTTACTCTACTGCTCAGCTCAGGAAACTCCTTGCTTTATACCATATCTACATTTGGGGGAAACCATCCTCTCCTGACCAGCTCCTGTGAGGTAACAGTATGTTCCAAAGACTGGATGAACTGCCTGGGTAATGGCTCAGGGGCTAAGGATTCGGGGTCTGCTCAAATGCACATAGCCCTAGGAGGCCTCCACCTGGCAGGGGGCAAGTTTGTTGAATTTCATTATTTAAATAGATGGTTTCTTAACATGCTTCAAAACTCAAAATGATATAAAAAGTTGCTTTGAAAAGTCTAATACCCTCTTCCCTACTATCACCCCTTTCCATCCCATTCTCTACCACCAAACTATTGGTTCTCCACTATTACTTTATGCAAATACAAGCAAATAAGAATCTATATTCATTTCCCATCCCTTGCACAAAGTGTAGCAAACTATTTACACTGTTTTGTATTTTGCTGTCCATCATTCTCTGTCGGTTTGCTGCCTCATTCATTTTTGTAGCTGTGTAGTGCTCATGTGGTTCCATCACTGTTCATTTAACTGTCCTCAATAGACGGTCCCTTAGGCTGTGTTCAAACCTTGCCATTACAAAACAGGACAATCTTATACACACATCCTGTTATATAATATGCAAATCTGTGTGTAGAAAAATTCCCAGACATGAGATTGCTGGATCCAAGAGTCAATGCTGTTATCATTTTGAGGGATATAATGCAATTGTGTTCCATGCAACTGGCCTGTTTGCCCATCACATGCATCATAGGAGAGTGAGTGCCTGTTTGGGAGAGGAACTGTTTGAGGACAGATGGGTCTCTGTGCTGGGGGCAGCCCTGAAGACCCCCCTGTGATACAGAGGTGCTAGCGGCACCCAGAGAGCACTAGAATGAGTCTCAAAGATGTCAAATACACTCAGGTTGCTCTGGGTCTCGAAAAGCGCTCTGTAGCATGATTGCCCCTGGGAGACCCCTTTCAGAAAAGACCCTTGATGAAGAACTTAAATCTGATTTGATATCCTCAAGATGATTTTTGAGCCTCTGAGACTTTTGGTGTCAGTGGCTGGAGCACTGGAGAGTGACAGGAGGGTAGTGGGACCATGGAGAGAGAGAGAACTGGCCTGGGGGTCTGGATTCATGTGTTCTAATTTCACTGCCTTTATGAGACCTAACCTGCTCTCTGAGCTTCAGGTCCCTCACCAGGGAGTCAGATCATGTGACTGGAAGCCCCTCACGATCTGTCAAGCACTCTTCCTGTGTTGGGGTTATTATTGCTGAAAGGGAGTGTCCAGGCGGAGTGCTGAGACCTGTGGGTCAGGCAAGGCAAGTGAAGGAAACACAGGCTATGAGAAACTGAGTCACGTGCGTCCCTCAGGGGTAGCCTGGGCCATTTGCAGAGAATATATGTGCCAGCCGATTCTCCACATTGAAGACAAGTCCTATGACTGGAAACTCTCTGATTCCTTCCCCAACACTTCTTGGCCTTTGGCAAATTTATCATGGACAGGAGAAAGACATTCTGTTCCTTTGGGGTCAGAGAATAACTCATTTCCCTCTTCAATACGATGAGCACAAAGGCCAAAGCCAATCCCCTTTACCAAGAAACCACAAACAGTGCTGAGAGTGGCACCCTTCTGGATTGGGAGGGTGGGGAACATCCATCTATGAATATTCATGAACTGTGCACTTAGGAGTGTTCTGTGTAAAGACCCTTTGAAAACTGATGAGAATTGGCATAAAAGAGTTTGATTAATTCCTGAGTCAGCTGGCCCCCTGCCCGAGAACACATGCAATGGTTGTCATAGAGAGCTGGTTTACAAAGAACATGTTTCTGCAGATGTGTGGGCTTGCACTGCAGCGGCCTCCCACTCTCCAGCAAGTACAGCACAGACTCCAGGATTGGGCTGGGCCCTTAAGAATTAAGCCACATATTCAAAACCCAAATTCTTCAGCTCCCTAAGAAAGCATCCTCCATGCTCACATTCCCTAAGATGCGAGGTCTGTGTGTGAGGACCTCTACCTGACACTGCCCCCTCTTCCTCTCTGCTCACTCAGCTCCCACCTGTCCTAGATGGACCATTTCAGCCTATTGCCTTCTGGTGAAGGCCCCCCAACTGCTCCACCTCACTGGGATGCTTCATTCTGCAGTCACTGAACTGCTGGCAGATGTCTCCCGTTTGAGAATTAATTACACACCTTGCCACCTTGACTTGTCTCCCAGCATTGTTGGCCTGTTTTAATAATGAGTTTCATTATCATTATTTAACTTTCTACATGTTCTTTCCCTGTTCATTCACTCCCACACTCATTTTCATTCAACGAACCTATATCCAGTAGTAACATACCCTAAGTGCTAAAGATACAAAGATAATGATGAAAATTAATAATAATAATGCAATAACACAACAACAATATTTACAAACAACAAAATAACAATATTTATTGAGTTCTATACTCTAGCATCTGGGCTAAACTTTACCTCACTTAATTCCCACCACAACCCTTGGAAGAAAGATTTATTATTATGCCTATTTTACAAATGAGGAAACTCAAGTTCTCAGAGGTTAATTAATTTACCTGAGGCTACATTTATTAATTAGTGATTAGTAGTGCTATCCCCTAGAAGTGAAGGGCAGGGCAACAAGCATATCTTACGGCCACACAGCTGCTGATGGTCTGCCCATGGTCTCCCCTGCCCCTGGCTCTGCCTGCCATCTCCCTTTATCTGGTTCCCAGGCCAGGCTTTACCCCTGAGGTTGAAGGGAAGACATCTGGTCACCTAAGCTTGACTTCTTCCCAGCTTCAAGTTGTGAGTCCTCCCTAAGACTTCAGATGACTTGCCCTGTTCTCTGGGTCAGTCAGAGGGCATGGAGGTGAGGTGGCACCAGGTGACAATGCAGAGAAGATTGCATTCCAAATCTGAATCCAGAACTGAGTAGAGAAAAGTTCACATCAACAGTGAGGAATTCTTGAGGAAAAGAGAAATATGCTTTCCAACAGTGTCGATGTCAACAAACTTTGCTGGCAGAATTATAGAAAGAGGAATCGGGCAGTAAAGGGTGAGGAGGCATGAGTTAAAATCCATTTGTTTTGTAAAAGATACCATTTACTAGAGATTAGTGAGCTAAACCATTTACAGATATTATCTTGTCTCCTTACACCCTGTGAAGTAGATAATTCACTGTCTCTATTTCAGAGAGGTGTGTCAAGGGTTATGTAACTTTCCCCACGCTATGCTGCTGGTAAGTGGCAGAGCCAGGACTCAAACCAGCTTCAGCTGACTCAAAAACCCATGCTCACATTCTACCACAATGTATCACCTCATTCATTCATTCATTCATTCATTCATTCTTGTAATAAGAATTTACTGAGCACCAACACTGAGCTAGCCAAGACTTGCATTACACATTGAAAATACAAAGACAAGTAAAACACAGTATCCTTATGGAGCTTATAAGCCACCAGGGACAAAGTCCCATCAACATCTCCATGTAGTATCATCCTCAGTTTTAAACACTAGAGAAGCATAGCTAGGGGACAGTGAGAGGCATGATACAGAGGTAACAGACTAGCAAAAGTGAGCCTGAAAGAAAGTTGAGATAGCTCACAGTTGGAGGCACTTTTGCCCCTCAAGGGGTATTTGAGAATGCCTGGAGGCATTTTCACTTGTCACAAGGAGGGAAACAGGGCAGCAGAGGGAATGTGCTACCCCAGGGATACCCCTAAACATCCCACAGAGTACAGTACAGTCCCACAATGAAGAACTGTTTGGCCTAATTTTCCTGATAAAAAGCAAGTTGAGAAACTCTGCTTTTGATATTTAATCTGGACCAACCCTTCATTTTGCAGATAAGAAGGCTGAGACCCTAAAGGATAAGCAATCTTGAATCCAAGTAGCCCAGGGCACGCAGGACTTTCTGTTGGGCATCTGAGACCTAGCAGAGTAGAGTGTGGAGATTCAGGCTCAGGAGCCAGACTGCCTGGGCTTGAATTCTATGTCTGCTTCTTACTATTGCACAACTTTGAGCAGGTCACTGAACCTCTCTGTGTTTTGGTTTCTTCATCTGTAAAATGAGGATAAAGACCTCCCCTAGGACATAGTGTGGCTGTTCCAGTTACCTGTTGCTGAATGCACACCACCCAAAACAGAGGTCTAAACACTCATTTTAGTTTGCTTATGAGATTGTGGGTGAGGACTTTAAGCAGGCTCAGCTGGGCAGTTCTTAGATCCATGTGGTGTCACCTGGGCTGGCTGGATCCTAGATGGCTTTTCCTTTCCCATGTCTGGTGCCTCACCAGGAACAATTCAAGGCTAAGCTCAGCTGGCCCCTCTGCCTATCCATGGAATCTCTGGCCCCTTTGGGTGGCTTCTACAGTGAAGTACTCAAACTTCTTACATGGTGTATAGCTTCTCTGCAAGCCTGTCAAACTCGCAGTCCGCAGACCACGTGTGGCCCACAACAAATATTTTTGCGGCCTAGCCAATATCAGAATGTAAGAAATGTTTTAATAAAAACTTAGTTTTCACAATATCCTATTATACATAATTATTAATAATGAACTACAACGTTCACTAATGACTGATTCCTATAATCGTGTTGCATTCATTTCCCTTAAGCACCTTCTGCGCAGGTCAGGTATACCATTTCTCTCTGCTAATACTAGCAGGGAATGTTTTAGCAGCTGATTGCTACGTCATTAGTCTTGGACTGACTTGTTTGATGTGTGCAATAGGAAATACTTTGCTTTCGGAGAACAAGAAAAATAGGTTTATTTGCTTTACGCTTATTAATTTGAGCAGTTATTCAGTGTCTGGTAAGTTAATATTCAAGAAAAATTTTTTATTAAAATGTTCTATTATTTTATGTTAATGATTACTCATTTATTTCAGCATGTCTCTATCAAAATGAACCTATGTTTCTATGAAAATTGAAGCTTTTGTTTTTTTGTGGCCCACATAAACTTAAACCTTCTTTATTTGACCAGTGTTAGTCTTTGAGTTTGTCATGCTTGTCCTAGAGTGAGCATCCAAGAGCAAGTTCCAAAAGACAGTTTATAACAGGCACCTCCTAACTGCCACCATATCCTATTGGTCAAAGTAGTCACAGAGTCCAGCCAGATTCAAGAGGAAAAGTATCAAAGACTTTGTGGCCATCACAAATATACCTTGGGGGCTATGGTAATTGTGTTAATACATATAAAACACTTAGAACAGTCCCAACATGAAGCAAGCACTGCACATATTTGCTATGGTTGACATCACCTTAGTAGTGGTAGTACATCCAAAAGCCTGCTGGCAAGATCAGAGAAGCAGGACCTTTCACAACTGACTGCTCCCTCCCTCCATAACCCTTCCAAAGAAAGTGGTGGTTCATGCCAGCAAGAAGCTATAATCCTCAGCCTAGCATGGCAACTCTGGTCAACAGCCACCCACGACCTGATGTGGCTGCTGAGGGTGACTTACAGGTCAGGTAAGGATTGTGCCCTTGCATACAACAGCCAGTTCACCATCTGCTGCCTTGACTCACCATAGGCTTGTGTTGATCACATTTTGCTATGATCACCTCCTTTGCAAGACCTTCTGCTCCGTGGTTTCCAAGTAAAGTCTTCAAGAAAAAGAAAGATTGCATTTTCCAACTGTCTGTTGTCCTTTATGGTAAAATATTTCCTATATTTTTCTTTCTTCTCATCAAGAAGAGTCTATGAAGAGTTGAGCATGCATGCATGCATTCTTTCATTCTCACATTTAAAAATACTTGCTAAGCACCTACTGTGTAGTAACAGGCACTGAGCTAGACCCCAAGAGTACAAATTGAACAAGACAGACAAATCTTCGCTGACATGAAGCTAATACAATACTTTAATGGAGGAGCCAAATGACAAATAAGTAAACAAAAAAGCAAATGAGTGAGATACAGATTGTGATCACTGCTCTAAATGAAGGGGACATGATAGAAGGGAACTTGAGGGATCTCCTTTACTTAGATGGTAGTTTTGGAATGGCTCTTTGGGGAGGAGACATTTGAGTTTGCCAGCCTCTTTAAAATGCAGAGAAGAGAATTCTAAGCAAATGGACACCAATGACAAGGATACTGAGGTGAGAAAGGGCTTAATGTACCCCCGGTCCAAGGAAGAGTGTAGAAAGGAGAAAGGTTTGTGATAAGGTTCAAGTATAGGCAGAGGTCAGATCCTGCTGGGCAAATAGCCTAAAAACCAAGTGAGACCCAAGCAGTAAAGGGAATTTATTGGCTCAACTGAAAAGTAGAGACATAGCATACGGTTACACTGGGCTCCAACAGAGTCAACAGAACCTAGACTTTTCCATGTCTTAGTCTCCTTTGTTCTGAGAGGGCTTTAGCTCAGGAAGCCTTTCCCTATGGATGAGTTTCTGTAGCTCAGGCATCATCTTTACAGCCAGCAATTCCCAAAGTTCTAACAACAGTCTTATTGGATCAACTCAGATGTATTCATCTCTGGATCAATCTCTGTGACACAGGAAAAGAATATGCTGATTGTCCATGTTAGTATTATACACTGACCCCCTGATACAGGGAGGGAAGTAGAGTCAGCCTGCCAAGATCACTTGCAATGAGAATCAAGGAGTAAGTTCCCAAAGAAGTATGGAGATGCAGTTATAACAACACAAGGCATGGATGCTAGGTAGGCACAAGCAAGGCTATGCAGACAATGGTGAGGGCTGAGGTTTTATGCTAAGGGTACTACTGGGAAGCCATCAAAGGGTTTTCAGCAGGAGAGTAATCTGCTGGCATTTAATCTATTGATAATAACAGTTCACAAAGGTAATTTTGACTGTGTGGGTACAGAAGGGATTTATGTGTGGAAGGACTGAAATCAGGGAGCTATTACAGAATGGCAAGTAGGAGAGGTTGGTGCCTTGGACTTAGGTACTAGGGTGGCAGCAGTAAGAGTCAGAGACTTGTGGACAGACTTGAGATTCTCTTGTGGAAGAGCTGGCATCTATTTTTGATGAAGTGGAGGTGGGGAAACAAGTGAAAGAAGAAGTCAAGCATGGTTCCCAGGGTTTTGGCTTGCTCACCTGGATGAATCATGATGCCATTTACCAAGAAGAGAAGGACACGGGAGGTAGAAGGCAAGAGTTCCATTGTGAATGTGTTCAGTTTTAGATTCCTGTAGGAGATGTTGAACAGGTAGTTGGATGAACAAGTCTGGAATATAGAAGAAAAGGAATCGTCAGTACATAGACATTATTTAAACACGAAAAATTGAATGAGATCACCCAGGAGAGCATGTATTGTAGATAGAGAAAAGAAGGGGGGGCATAAATGCTACTTCCCCAACAATTTTTCCACTTTCCCAAACTGCTTTATTTAGGTTCTAGGCAAAAATGGGCTCTCCTGCCTCTAGACTGTGTTATTTATGTGTGGGTGTGTGTGTTTGTGTATGTGTGTGTGCTTATGCATGTGCCATTCCCTCTGCCTGCAATGATTTCTGTTCTTTCCCCTATACGCCCCAAATAAGGATCAGATCAAATCTACCTTCTATAGCAGTCCTTGTCTCATTAGCTGCATTGCAAATGTCAGCCTCTTTGCTTCCTATAACTTTCATCGTATATTAACCATACATTTGGCATTTACAAAGCACTGTTCTCTGGGTGTCATATTTCCCTCAAAAAGATTATAAACTCTAAGAAGGCAATCTGCAAACCTTTGCACTCCCAACCTGACAGATTGGCCAGATAAAAAGTTAAAACAAAGATCTATTCGTCAATGACAACACTCATACTTTCTTTTGGTAGTTTTTGTTCCAGTGGCTGGGAATTCGTCTCAAACTCCTATGCTCGGTGAGACAGCAGCTCAGCAAGGGTGTTCCAATCAATCCCCGGAGCATGAGGCAGCAATTGTCTAATGCTTTAAAATAGTTATGGCAAATACAGCCTGGTGGCAAATAAAGAGCACATGACTCAATCTGTATTGAAAAGAGCCAGATGAAAGCAGTTTCCCACAGAGGGAAACCAAAGATTTAAAATGAGCACCTGGGAAGGACTTCAACTGTTTCTGCATCTATTCCTGAGTAATATTCCACTTCATCGGAACACATCTCAGTGTGTTTGTGCCCATTTAGCACTCTCGCCTCCCTTCCCAGCAGAGGTTTCATAACTTACAGCCCATAGTCATTCCAAAATGTTTCCAGGTGGATTCTCAAGCTCCAGACAGCTCAGTTATTACCAAGGATGCTAGGGAGCCCCAATTTTTCAATTTTTCCAGTTGAACTATGAAACACCTACCCACCTCACTTCTCCCCCAAACTACCCCTAAATTATTCCCAAGCTGTATTTGTCTCAACCTGGAATTCCCATAGTCTCCTGCTCTTTCACAGGCATCCCTTGATCAGCTATGCAGAACAGAGTTCTCCAATTAGGCAAATCAGCCTTCAATTCTCTTTAAAGCTGCAGCAAGCACACCCACAATGCTTCCAGTGACAATACTGAAGAAAGTTGAGCTGGTCTAATGCCGTTTTCCAAGACAATTTTTGCTTCTGATAAAGTCATATCTGCCTGTTTCCCAGAGCTCATATTATTTTCCCATTTTGACACATGACTCACTTCAAACCTAGTATCACTGAGTCTGCCAGTTGAATGTGACCCCTCATTTTTGCCTCCAGGGTGTCCAGCTGCACAGCAGATGCTGTGCGGTGGGAAAGGACCCATCTTGGAACAGGCTTTCAGGATTTACCACTTTCAATTGCTGCGTGACCTCCAGCTAGCGAGTCTGTTACCTTGCACCAAAAATGAAGATTAAAGACACTTTGAAGTATGGGCATACCCCAGTGGAAAACCACCACAGTAAAGAGAGTATTACAATAAAGTATAATCTTTTTGCTGATGGAGAATCTTGCCTTCAATTTGAAAACAACAAACAAACAACAACTAAGCACCTGTGAAATACAATAAAGCAAAGAGCAATAAAAACCAGGCATGCCTGCACTGTTATGAGGATTAGATGAAATGGCATAATAGAAGTGCTTGGAATCAAACCTTGCATCATATAAGTAGGGGCTCGGCAGAGGATAAGTTGACCCATGTGAAATTGCCATTTGCATAGGTCCAAAATGGCCAAAATTGACAATTTCACATGGTTCCATCAGCCATTAACCTGATATTTAAGCATTGAGGAGATCAGTGTCTATCTACCTGGAATACTGAGTACAGAGTGGGTGAAACCTCAGAGTTGACTCTTATTTAAATCGTCAAAGAATTAAAGAATGCCAGCACCCTGATATGTGCTTTAAATGCGGGTAGATTTTCTTGACTCTCAGCTGGCAGTTAAGCAAAGCTAATTTAAGAGCCAGGATAACTATGTGGTTAGGAGTCTAGACTCTGGGGAGTGATTACTTAAGATCAAAGTCTAGCTCTGCTACTCACCAGCTTTGTGGTCCTGAGCAACTTTGTTAAATAATCTGAGTCTCAGTTTTCTCCACGACATGGGATCACACCGGGTTGTTGTTAGGACTAAATAAGTTAATATATGTGAAGTTCTTAGGACACTGAAGTGCTAGTTATCATCAACTTGATTGAAAATAGGTGGTTTAGCCTGATAAACCCTATGGATACAAATCAGAACCAAACAAAGCAAAATCAGCCTTGCCTTCTTAATCAACCCCAATATAACAGCTGGGACACCCCTTGGAAAGCTCAGGAATGGAGGATGAATCCACCCAGGAGAGCTCAGTGAGAATCCTCTCAGCCAATGGCATTGCATACTCTCTCCTGGTATTTCAAGGGAAGGGCAGAGATCTTTGTAGTTACCCAGAGCAGAAGTGACTAACACGTGCCCTACAGAACCCAATGAAAAAAGATGACAGGGGATGAAAGGGCCGTAAAAAGCTGTCACACACCAAGAAGAAATATACTCTGCTCATGCTGGTGGGGAATGAAAACATTATTTGAATCCACCATTTATTTAGAAACTCATATTAATTAGGACAAAGATGTTGTAAGGAAAATGATACTAATGTCCTATGGGTTTTCTCATAACCATTTTTATGTATATTATTTGACCACACACATACACACACACACACACACACACACACACACACAAAACCTGTGAGTCAAGTAGGTGAAGCCAGCATTCTATTTAAAGATGAGAAACTGAAGGATCGGGGAACTTAAATGACTTACTCAAGCCTACCTGGACAGCAGGTGATGAAACTGGAATTTGAGTCCCTAAGGGCAGGGCCATTTTTATTTTTTTTCTTCCCAGCACCAGGCACCAATCTCACATTTATTGAGCAATTGAATGGGAGGGGCCAGGGAGGAGAGGCTGTACCTAGAAAACAGACTCACTTTCTCAGGCTAGTTCAGGTTCTCAGGTTAATGGCTCTAATGCTCATACTTTGTAGAGTCCTGAACCTGTAGTTGGGCAATAATTCAGAGGCATCTAAAGGAGACAAAGGAAAAGGTTTCAACAGTGTGTGCTAGGACAGATTAGGTATAGTACACATAATCAGCATTTAAGAATCCATAACTCTAATAACAGATGAGACTATCCACCTATACTTCTCAGGCTGCCATTTATGATCCACTTGCACATCTGAAAAAGGAGGAGATAAAGCTTATAAGCTATATGCTGTATACATTTGCTTAGTAAATACACAATTTGATTTGCTTCACATCTTATTAGGCAAAGATCTGGCAGAGCACTTAAAAATGTCAAGAGGGCCTGGCTGGTGTTCAGTTGTTGAGTGTTGACCCATGAACCAGGAGGTCATAATTCTATTCCTGGTCAGGGCACATGTCTGGGTTGTGGGCTCAAACCCCAGTAGAAGGAGTGCAGGAAGTATCTGATTGTTGTCTCTCTCTCTCATTGATGTTTCTATCTCTCTATCCCTCTTCCTCTCTCTCTAAAAATCAATAAAAAACATAGTATTAAATTTTCAAGAGGATCATTGAATAACCATGTTTTCTTCTTGGACCTCCGAATGGAAGGGGAAATCTGAGGTTGAGATTGGGCAGTCTCAGGCCTTGCTTTGGGTTTTCCCTTAATGTAAAGGATATTCCTCCTCCATCAAGATGCAGGGGGACATGTAATTCTAAGTGTCCAAGTCGCCCACCCCCAACCTCCCACCCCACCTCCACTTCTGTTTCAAAGAGTTTTTAGGGACTCTGAACTGCTGGTAGGATAAGATGAGAGGGTGGCTCTCCAAATGGAACATGCTCAGTGGAGGAGTGGGAGGCCTGGAGGCATCACAACTATCTGAAAGGTAAATGGGCTCTGTGCTTTCTGCTGTCAATGGGTGGGCCCTCAATGTTTAGCAAGGAGAGTGACAAATATAGCAACGCCATGCTGATACAACTTCCACTGGGTTTCCTGGTTCTGGTAACAGACAACATTTGCTACCACGGGATAAATATCTGCAGTTTTTATTTGTTGTCTCTGTAGTCAGTGATTCCAATCTGTTTGTGATGAGTGGAGAAAATCCTCAAAGTTTAAATTTATTTAACTTATCTTTGCTTTCTTGAATCCTTCAGAATTTCCTCTTTATCTTTCTGAAAAGTTGTTTACCATGTGGATGCCTCCAAATCTCAAGACCTCAGCAAGATCATGACGAACATCCAAGCCCAGTATGATGAACTAACTCAGAAAAACCGAGAGGAACGAGACAAGTACTGATCCCAGCAGATTGAGGAGAGAGCACCATCGTGGTCAACTAACAGACTGTCGAGACAGGAGCTGCTGAGATGATACTCATGGAACTGAGATGTATGGTTCAATCTTTGGTGACTGACCTGGACTTGATGAGAAATCTGAAGGACAATTTTGAGAACAGCCTGAAGGAGGTGATGATGCACTATGCCAAGTAGATGGAACAGTTCAATGACTCAGCTCAGGGACCACCTTAATTGAAGCCCCAGACTTGAGATTCCCTGAATCATCCATGTGAGGACAGTGTTACTTTCCATTCACTCTCTCTTCTGCAGCTGGAGGCAGAGCTGGCTTGGACCCAGGAAGAGGGTCCAAGTGTCTGGTCATCTTGGACCAGGCCCTAGAGTACCAGGCCCTCCTGAAAACCAAAGTCAAGCTGGAGAACGAGATCTTCTCCTGCTGGAAGAAGGGAAGGACTTTGATTTTGGTCACAATGTGGGTCACAGCAACTCTATGCAATCCATCTAAATGATGACCACCTGCCTGATGGTGGATGGCAAAGTGGTGTCTGAGGAGCACCGTCTAAGGTAGGGGTGTCGAACTCAATCAGAGAAGGGGCCAAAATCTAAAATCCAGCCTAAATCGCGGGCCGAATGGTTTACTGAACAGTCATAAACTGTCATTGTGATGGAAACGCAGCGGAGTGCAGTGATGACAGCGCGGTGCGGGCCACATTGCAAGGCCTGGCGGGAGGGATTTGGCCCGCGGGCCTTGTGTTTGACACATGTGGTCTAAGGGGACAGTAGGCCAATCAAAGTTCAGAGATCATTGAACAACAACAACAAAAAAGCAACTGAAAGATTTTTCAATTCTCTTAATGGCAGGCTAGATCAACCCTTCAATTGAGATCAACTATAGGAAAAACTACATAACATATAGCTATTTAAGACTAGAGGCCTGGTGAACAAATTCATGCACCAGTGGGGTCCCTCAGCCTGTCCTTCAGGATTAGGCCAAAACCAGTTCTCTGACATCCCCAGAGGGGTCCTGGATTGTAAGAGGGTGTAGGCCAAACCAAGGGACCCCACCAGTACACAACCAGGGCTGGGGAGGAATGCAGAGGTTGGCCAGCCGGGGAGGGACCACAGGAGAACTTCAGGGCATATCCAGCCCATCTCACTCAGTTCCAATTGGCCAGATGCCAGCAGTAAGCTAACCTACCAGTTGGGAGTGTCTGCCCCCTGGTGATCATGATTGTCATAGGGAGTGGTTGAGCGGCCTTAGCAAATGACCAGGCACTTAGCACATTAGGCTTTTATTATATAGGATTATTTATATTTAAATGTGTATAATATAAAATATATTAAATATATAATTAATATATATTTTATAAATATAAATACAGTATATATATTTTTTTTTCTTAAAAACATCAAAGAGCTGATAAGACAGTGAAGGATTTTCCTGCCAAAATTTGGACGAATTTGAGAAGCAAGTACTCAAAGCTGCCTTTGGCCCAGCCAGGAAGAAACAGCTGCAATGTGGAGCTGTGGTATCTGGTGGCCTCACTGGCAAAAGAGATAAAGGGCCTGCCAAGTGGAGAGTCTGATAAATACTCACACACTAAGTTGAGGTCCTGAAGGGCTTTACTCTTAGAGCAGAGCTTCCCAAACCTGTCTACACATTAGAATCACTGGAGAGCTTTTAACAATTCCAAAGCACAGGCCACCCTGCGATCAAATCACAGTCTCTGCAGTGGGACACTGGCATAAGGGTATTTTGAAACTCCCCAGGTGATCCCAAGGTGCAGGTGAGTATGAGTTTGGGAACCACAGCGGTGAGAGTGAATGGGAAGTAACACTGTCCTCACATGGGTGACTCAGGGAATTTCAAGTCTTAATCTTCCATTAAAGTGGTCCCTGAGTGTCAGCTGCAAATGAAAATGCTCTGTGGGGCATTATGTTCTCATCTTTGGCCTCACATTATTTCTACAAACAAAATTTCAAGTGCAATGTCAAGCATAATGTCCCTAGGAGTGAGAAACAGGGGGATAAAGACAACAGACACAAACTCATGAAAGCATACAACTACCATAGATAGCATAGCATGTAATTTCTTCTAATGCCCTATGGTCCATCTAGAAAATTTTCTAAGAAAACTGCAAGGTAAATACACCTTCTAGATTATGGTATGAAATGTCTTCAGAACTCCAAGGCAATACTGACAATTGAAAAACTGGAGGTGATAAAAAAAAAATCATCCCTAATCTGTATATTATTAGTTATAAGAACTGTTGGGTGGGAGAGGGGAGTAAGCGCTCAGAAACATATTTCCAGAAGCATTTAATTAAAAATAAATGTTTCTTGCTCCAATTTTGTTTAAAGCTACAATAGTAAGATCCATTTCCCACCCCCCTCTCTCAATAGGGTAGGAAGAGATCAACAAAATCAAATTGAAAGCAATAGAAAAAGATGAGATTGGAGTTTTTATATTACCCTGGAAAAGCCACCTGGATATCATAGACTTTAAGAAGCATGGTGCCTAGATCTTGACACCTTTCTCCCACCTCACAGTCATTTCCATTTCTTTCTTTAAAAAAAAAAAATATTTTTTATTGATTTTTACAGAGAGGAAGAGAAAGGGATAGAGAGTTAGAAACATTGATGAGAGAGAATCATCAATCACACTCTTGCACACTCTCCACTGGGGATGTGCCCACAACCAAGGTACATGCCCTTGACTGGAATCGAACCTGGGACCCTACAGTCCGCAGGTCAACACTCTATCCACTGAGCCAAACGGTTTTGGCAGTCATTTCCATTTCTCCCCATCATTTATAGACTTACCGTATTTTTCGGACCATAAGACGCACTTTTTATCCCCCAGAAGTGGGGGGGAAAAGTCCCTGCGTCTTATGGTCCAAATATAGCCTACACATATACTTTAAAAAAAAAGTTTTTTTTACTTGCCCGGCTCTGTGTGGTCTCTGTGTGCTTGCCCGGCTCTAAAATGGTTCTAAATGCTGCTGTTTACTTTACAGGGTTGATTACATGTGTTTATGACTGTGATGTTGGGTTTTAATGCACATAAAATATTTTAGGACACTATTTGTTTCAGAATCTTTTTTTCTTCATTTCCCTTCTCTAAAAACTGGTGCGTCTTATGGTCCGGAGCGTCTTATGGTCCGAAAAATACGGTACTTCTTTTAGCCAAGCATTGTGTTGAGCCGAGGGGATGTGACAATTTCAAGTTGCTGTTAGCACAGGGAGTAGGAGAGAGAGAGAGAGATAAGCCAGATAAGCTGGCAGGCAGTTACAATTCAGAACTCAAATGCAGAGGTGTGTGCAGAGTATGAGGAAGCCTGGAACTCAGACCGCTTCCCAAACACACCCATCATCCCCTCCAAAGATGAGAAGCCACAAGAAGGAACAAAATCTAAAAGCATTGTCACTTGTGATTGCAAAATAAATACCCTGTGACATCACTCGGACAGGAAAGAGTGAGGTGGATTTGGGAAGGCGAGTAAAGCACAGGAGCCAGACTGTGTGCACAGAGGGTGGAAGGCCCTCAACAGGCCAGCCAGGACCTCTGCCCCAGTCCCCTTCCTTCCCCTCCTCACCTGGCCCCTGACCGCTGTCCCTGTCTGGACCAGCGTCCTTGTCCTGCTGCCTCCCGAGGATGCTGTAGGCTGTGCATGGCTCTGCTCTGCTGGAGACACCCCTGCACATACACACCCCAACTGCTCCCACCACTCAACCCTCCAGGGACAGGACATTCCTTTCCTCCTGGTGTTTCTCTACCCAGCCCAGGCCTTTCCTTCATTCTCCACACATAACAAAAGTCTGGGC